AAGCTTTTAGCTTACTATCTTTATCTATATTTATATTATAGATTTATTATATCTTTTTATAATTATATTAAGATAATATAATGATAGCTTTTTACTATTTTGATAGTTTAAGATATTATCTAATATTTTCTTTATCTAACTTATATTTTTTATACTTATCGTTATAATAGTATGTCTAGCTAAGGATATTATATAATATTATATTTATCTATCGTTTAAATTCTATAAGTTGTTTAAGTTCCTTATATTCTTAAGTATAATATTCTTTCTTATTATAGTTATAATATTATATATCTTTCTTATTTTAAATTCTCTTTTATTATTTTTTTTAGAATATATTAATTTTTATAGGTTTTAAATAGTATTTATAAGCTATACTTTATAGCTTATTATAATATTATACTTACTTTTTATTATTAGCTTAATATATTAGTTTAAATATTTAATTTTTATAAGATTTTTTCTTAAAATATCTTTTATATAGTCAATTATCAATTTTTATAGTTATTACTATAAAATCTATAAAATTATTTAATCTTTTATATTTAAATAATTTGTCTTTTATATTATCCTTTAGTCTTATATAGAATATTATTATAAAAGGATTGTTAGACTATAATAGTTTAAACAAAATCTATCAAAACTTAGATAAATATTCTAAAGTAAATCCTTTTTACTTAAGATTTGACAATTTTCATTTAATAATTCTTTTTTTATTAAAGTTTTTGAATATTGTTTTGATAGCTTCTTTAAATTTTTTATAACTTTCAAAGATCTTTCTAGTTTCTTTATCTTATTTCTTTAGGTTTTTATTTTTAAGATAGTCTTTAAAAGTTGGTTTAAATTAGCTAAATATATCTTTTATAAGTAAGTTAACTATTAAGAGTATCTTATTATACTTTTATATAACTTTTACTATATTTATATATAAGTAAGCTTTAACTTAAGTTAAAAATCTTTAAAAAGTTCTTTTTTCTTTATTATAAAGGTTAGATTTCTTTATTTTTACTATTTTTATTCTTTCTAACTTAAGGATTATCTTAAGTTATATAATCTTATTGATTATATCTTATATTATCATTATTAGTCCTTTAATTATTGATGATAGTTAAAGAAAGTTACTATTAGATAAGCTTAATATTGATAAGATGATAGTAAATATTATTATGACTATAAAGATATTACTTAAAGATATATTGTCAACTTACTAAACAAAAGCTTTTAATATATAACAATCCTTTCTATTAGTATATTGATAGATAACTAAAAGGTTCTTAGGTTTATATTCTAAGATAGGTTGAAAGATATTTAAATAATGTTTATAAAGGTAAGTGATTATAACTAGTTAGATTCTATTAATTATAGAATTAAGCTATAATATAATCAAACTATAATATTAAAAGCTAAAAAGCTAGTCTCTTCATTTTTAGGCTTATAATCATAAGTATAGTCTTATATAAAGCTATACTTCGCTAGATTACTAGAATCCTTCATAATCTATAGGTGGTGGCTCACTATGGCTCACCATGATCTAGGACATCTGGCTCACGGATGGCCTTTATCTTATCTCCATATGATGTCTCTTCTGTCCCTTATGCCTGCTGTGGGGTTTCTGGCGGCGGCCTGTTTTCTGGCCGTAACACTTTACCAGGAGACTCCGTCATTTAGTATAAATAAAGTATAGCGCACACATTCGTTTAAAAGCTTATTTATAACTTAGACTTAAACTTTCATAATCATCACTTAATCTAAACATGATCACCATTTAGAATATAGGTATATAGTCTCAAAACCTTTGGTACCTCTTATAAGTAATGCTAAGACATTAGAGACTTTCGTATCTAATATATATAACTATAAGTAACTTAATATTAGCTTAAATTAGCTGTAAGTTTAAGGAACTATTCTTCTTTCCTTTAAGAGAATATAGTTCTGTTTTTACGGTTATTCTCGTAAAATTGCGGTTGTGTGAGGGCTTATAACCTATGGGATGATAGTTGTGTGTATTATGGTTGTAGGTAACGGTTAGGCTGTCATCTGCCAACAGGGCTATGGAAGGCTATCTATCTGGCACCTGGCGGTCACCTGGTGACCACCTGGTGGCCAACAACAAGTCTATAAGCTATCAGACTGGCCGTCGTGATTGTCGTATTAGCTTTCCACCCATCAAAGTCATGGCTGGCAGCAACTTGAGCTGTCATCGCTTAACAGCTATACCGCACCCAGCATCTCTACATTAGTACCTGTCATTTCTCTGATGTCTTTCGTGTCTGTGGTGCCTTTCATGTCGTGGACTTTCATACGGCTGTGAAAAAGGAGTCTCCTCCCATCTGCTATCATTTTCCGCTACCATTTGTCCGCCGGCTCCAGTCTGCTGAGGGTATGGGACTGGCACCAGTTCCCTTTGCTCGTATGATGGTCTCGTTCCGCTTCCGCTTCGGCGGCTCTCTGTGTACATACTGAATGCAAACATGACTGCCTGGATAATTTCGGCTGGGTTCAGAAACGCCAACCACGCTCGAATGCCCAGTATGCCGCCTTGGTAAAAACTGGAAGTCTTTGCGGTCACTGCCTGCGCTTCAGCGTCTTGGGAGCGAAGCAGATACGGTTTAACATCGTAAGCGTAATGGAAGAAGATGCTGAAGGGAACCATCTCGAGGCAGAGAACCACTGTAACCGAGAGTTAGTGCTTGATTCGTCGGCAAGGTGAAAGAGCAAGATAACACTGTCTGCATGGAAGCCCGGACGGTGACGAGGAAAAGTAGAAAGCTTGAAACAAGAAAAACAATTCACTCAAGGCTGCTTACTGAGTGGAATGCCAACATTAACATCGGCATAGTTGAGTGTGGCACTGGGGTCAAGCGGTGATGGATCAACCCCCTCGAGAATCCAGAATATAATCTTCACCGGATTTGTCAGTCACTGAACAGCAGAGCTTTGATGAATCAGAAGTATACCTTAAGCAAAAACGTCAAGCCGACGAGCAACTTGAATGCAAGGGAGCTTCGCTAGTGGTTTATGTCCGGCGAGTTCGGTCTTGAGATTCATGTAGAACCGGAGTACCGACAGGACCGCCACGACAAGCGAAAGGGTATGAATAATATTCAACTACAACAGACAGTCAGTGAATGGTGAAAATTAATTGGGGGTGAACAAGTTGATCCCTTACCCAGAGGTGCGCAAAATAGGGCTTGCTACTTGTCAAGCAGTATACGTTGGCTCCTTCAGTAATGCAAGTGACGATGGCAACGAAAACAGATACTACAACGTATTGGAAGATGCAGATCCATTGTTTCTATATTCTTTGTTAGTAACAACATCCTGGTACAGTATCGTGATATGTGTTCCGTGAGCTCACCCTGTACCAAGTCATGCCATCAACGGTCTCTTTGCCTGCTTTCTTCTGCTTGATTACCAACGCTGAGAAGAACATGTCACGCCTGGTCTCGTTGGGCGCAATGAACTCAAGCATAAGTAAGAAGAAGTCACCAAGCGCGATGGCTTGGACGACGTCTATCCAAGGGGCGATGTATGCGTATGCGACTGGGGCGACGATAGAGATGAATGCAAAGAACGAATACATTGGGATGAGAGAAGAAATCCGCATGATCCTACTAGGGCGTTAGCTATCGTCGACGGGAGGAAGCTTCCGGCACCTATGCGCTCAAGGTACTAACTTGAGTTGCTCGCTAGGCTTGCTGAATCGCATGGCGTGCCTGCACATGAGAATGAGGATGGATAGACATGCAAATCCGGCACAAGCGCCAGAGATTGCCATGTTTAGCTCGTGGAAGGTCAAGCCCCCTGCCAATGGTTCCGTCCGTTCTATCAAGGGAAGTCGAGTTAGCGAAACAAGTCTCTTCAAAGCGAAGTACTGTGCCGTAACTAGTGATGCAGCTTAGATGTCTTACCTTCAGTCAACGGACGGGGCATGGGACAGGTGTGGTTTGACGATTTATTTTTGAAGATTCCCATCGTAAAAGAATTACTGTTGAAAGGTTACTCGCTTCGTATTCTTGACAAGATCTGAAAAACAGATTTACCACTGCTTGGTCTTGTTGATAATGAAGTAACTATAGTGTTGCGAGCTGAGAATGTGTCGACATATATACGTTTGCTTGCAATTGATAGCCCGTAGCACTGCCTTGTAGGTTGAGGCGGAGTTCCTAGAAGTGAGGGTTGATGTGGTACAACAGATGGGAAGCTCTGCAGCAGATCTCTTAACGAGAACGAAAACGAAGGATTTAAGCCACAAATCTAAGGGACGGGAATAGCAGTGAGGGCCAACGCCAAGTAATAAAGAGTCACGGAGTACTCCCCCTAGCGGCAGCTGCCAAATGAAAAGCGTTATTACACATGCCTGACGACCCGTTGTCTGAGCTTAAAGCATGGGAGATCGTCGACGTTAGATCTTGCATAGTGAATCCTTCTGATTCCAGCGACAGGCACCTAATGGAGAGTGAACTCAGAGGACCAATAGGGCAGACACGGCTGTTAGACATGAGGAACGAGAAGCATTCTAGCACGGTCAGTGCCGGGCACTAACCAGGGCTAGCCGAAATTTGGCGTGGCTGAAGGATGCTTAATTCATCCTGCAATTCGCGCTCGGGATCGTATTGCACGTTCATTGGGCCCCGAACGCGAAACCTAGGATTTGCCGCGTCAGATGTCGGCGCCGAAGAGCAGGAAGCGCCGATCTGCCATTGTGGAGCAGGGCAACACAAGATACAAAGCAAGACACACGGCGTTCGCCGACTTATAATACAATGCGCACTTGACACTGGTAAGTCATTTTTCTTGGGCAGTATAAGCTGAAGCACCCGTGACGGAGAGGTCCCGACACGTACTACAGGAGACGCAGAAGAAGCTGATATTGGTATCCTTTTTTTCGCTGCAGAGGCGATGCGTTTTCAATAGACCGAACTCGTTAGGTGAGAGTTCTCTGTGAGTGGCTTTCTTTTCCTCCTATCTCCTTGACCTGTCGGTCTACCAGTCATCCTTCACTTCTGCGGCCTCCCGTTCTCCTCATCATGCGTCCAGAGTCCACCACCCGGACTGGAGGCACTTCCACTCGGCGATGAGACGCCGTCCATGCCCTCTGCATGGCTGAACCTCGCTTTATCGCGCTGCTTCTCGTTATCGCTGTCGTTCGGATGAACGTGTCCTCGATGCTCCTCCGTCTCATTATAGTCGATCAGCAGCTCGCCATTCTTGCCATATCTGCGCGGCTCAATCTTGGCCTGGTGCACCACAGTGAATACGCCCTTCCAGCCGCGGACCTTGTGAAAGATGCTGTCCATTTCCTCGAGAGATCTATACGCGGTCTCGGGGTAAAAGAAGTACACGCAGGGCACCATAAAGGCGTTGATCACCGCAAAGATGATATACGTCTGATATTTGATGTTGTTGAACGCAATCGGCGTGATCATCACCACAAGGAAGTTGAAGATCTTTAAATGTTTGAATTAGCACTTCTTTTGTGTGTGGACATTCGTGGTCTTACCCAGTTTCCGCTGGTGGACAGCGCATTAGCCGGGGCACGGATACGCAAAGGCACGATCTCGGCGGGGTACAACCAAGTCATGCCTAGCCATCCGACGGCAAAGAAGGTATTAAAGACAAAGAGAAAGACGACACCGGCGATTTGGTTGCCGGTCTCGCTGCGGGAGTTGACTCCAGCAAGGATGGCCATGGTGACAGCCTGTCCAACCGCGCCGAACAGCATCAGGTTTCGTCGACCAACGCGCTCAACAAGGAAGACAGCCGGCCAAGATGCAATGAAATACTCTGTTCCGTTGAGGGCGGCTAGCAAGCGTGAGAGAAAGTCACTCATGCCGAGACCCTTGTAGATCACTGCGGCGTAATATGTGATGAGATTGATACCACTGATTTGCTGGAACATCTGCGTTTTGTGTAAGCTCAGCAGATCAATACCGTCAAGATGGTTATCTTACCTGATTGGTATATGCCAGGATGGTGCGATGGAGATTTCTGTCCTTATCCATGGTGAAGAGATCTGAGAAGCGTCCCTTGGACATTTCGATCACGGTGTCCTTGATCTCAGAGTACTCATTCTCCACATATTTATCGGTGATGTCAGTATCCGCAAGAGCAGCAAGAACCTCCTTTGCTTCCTCATCACGCTTCTTCAAAATGAGCCATCTAGGGGACTCGGGTAACCCCCAAATCAAAGCCAGAATGAAGATGCAGAAGACGATCTGGAAAGCCAAGGGGAAGCGCCAAGCAACGGAACCAGGTGCAAAGGACAAACCGAGGTCGACCCAGTAGCTAATCATGATGCCGCAAGTAATGAGCGCGCCTTCAATCATGACCAGCTTGCCTCGCTTATGCGCGCTTGATGTTTCTGACTGCCATGTTGGCACTGTGGAGGTGTTGCCGCCGTTGCCCAGCCCAGTGATAATACGGCCAACGATGAAGTGCGGCAGAGTTGTCGCACTTGCTTGCAGGATCGCTCCAACTATCATAATGGTAGTCCCAAGCATGATCATTCTCTTTCGTCCCAATGGGTTGCTAATGAAAATAGTGATGATGGCGCCAATGAAGCAGCCCAAGTTGTAAGAGGCAACGGAGATTCCTTGATAATACTTAGCAATCTCATCCGTGCACGATCATGACAGGCAAGTCGATCGCTCTCACCTTGATTAGTCGAACGTTGTGAAGACTCGGCTGGAGAAATGCCATCGGCATCAGGGTTGATTTCTGGGAAATATTCGAGGAAGATGGGAAGAGTCAAAATGCCACCCATAACACCCTGGTCTAGAGACTAATCAGCAACCCAGTTCGATCAAAACATAGCGAGAGACTGACCATAACCAAATAGAAGGAAGTCACAGCCAGCAATAATGCCCACCGCCCAATTAAGGGCGTGGCCTCTGAGGCCGAAAAACTTCTTCATTTCCAGTTTGTTCGGGAACACCTGTACGATGTATCATGCGATGAGTCCGCGATTTATATCACAACTAGCCTTGGAAAATCAACAATCACGACACGATACAAACTGCACTACGCGAACCGCGAAGATCTTCATGCGGAACAGCCACTTCTTATATGTATTGGTGTTTCGACACTGCTGAGAGGCAAACAAGTAGTAACAATACTTCAGGAGCCTCCGGATTACCCCTTTAGGCAAGCCGCGGGTGACTAAGCTGGCTGTTGTCCGCCTTGAGAATCTGGAAATGTGGAGATCTACGTCACAGTGTGGAGATGACCCTCGCCCAAGTATCGCCAAACTGCAGAGTTGGACCGAAAAGGGTGGGGTTTGTGGATGGTGATGGAGTCTCAAGACCCGGAAATCTGGTCTTGGAGCGGGTATATCGGTGCTTAGTACGGGGGCAGGCTGCTTCACCGCTGGAGTTTCACGATAAGATCACAAAACATGGCACGGGGGTTTCGATTATGGAAGTGGAGGATTTGTATGTCTTCTACAAGCGTCAAGGCAGGCAGTGCGTACCCAGCAGTTGGCATGCCGCAAGATACAGCAAAGTTGACGTCATGAAGTGTCATCTTCTCGATTACATGTTCAGTTTTGACTATTCAGAAAGCCGAGCAGAGGAGCGGGGAGAGTGGTGACAGCGATTCCGGGGCAGATTCTAAAGTACGGGATGACAAGCCGGGGATGACTCGGCGGCAACCTGCAGAGCACCACGGACCATCGCGGGGATTTGGGGCACTCGCCTCACCGCGTGCAGTCGGAGATTGCGGAGTACGCCGAGGGAGGGTTTTGCACGTCCAACTTCAGCTGCTCCGCCCGTCTGTCTCAGGCCCGAGCCAGTCAAGCCATCTACGTGGGAAACAGGAGGATTGGACTTTCTTATCATGTCGTCTCTTGCCGCAACGTCTCCCGAAGCCAACGGCATCAATTGCGGAGAATGCTGAGTTTTTGGGGCGGCGTCAGAATTTAGAGCGCGACGGGTACTTAGTGGGCGGTTCTACGTCATGTTTAGACCACTTCATTGGAGCGTCTCCTCGGCAAAAGGGGACGATCTGGAAAACTCGTGTGTCGATCTCCAGCGACCACGCCGCGGCCACGCCGACTAATGCTAGTCAACGTTACAAAACTCTGCACGAAGAAGTGAAGTGCCATTAACATTGACGAGCGCCACCCGGATTCAAGTCCGTGCTTCGCCTCCTACTCGTGACCACTCGCGTGACCATCGGGTTCCCCCTTTCGGCTATTCGAGCTATCCTTGACTTATGGTTCGATTTGATATACAATAGTAGACCGTACACCACGTGCTGCCCCTGAGTGTACACCGGGGAGGTCTGTGGCAAAATCACCCCTTCTTCGGGGCCCCGGAGTTCCCGCAGCACCCCTCATATCGTGCCTCATCGGTTCTGGGGCTTGTCAAGGGTTGCGGGGGAGGATCTGATGTGTCCGGATGGTAGAAAAGGGTAACTCGAAAATGATATTCAACTTGGGATATGAGACGCTCGAGATAGCGTATCCTCATCGCCTGCCCCGAATGAGTGTAAGCTCCACGCGCAAAGGGGGGGAACGACCTGGACAGCCTTGCTCATTGCCGAGTCTAGATGCTCTAGGCACAGTCGTCTAATGATTGACTGGACTTAAGGAGCGCGTAATACCAGTCTCAAAGCGTTATTATGTTGAGAATTGGGCTGATATAACCAGGCTATACTAGTGGGCTCGCGGTTTATTACGAGTCTCATGGTCATTGATCATGAAACCCTTGCCCTTAGAGCCCCTGAATTAATGGCCGCTCGGATGCTCTATCTAGAAGATATCGGTTACAAATCTTTCGTTCCTCATTCCTACAACGAAAGCATCCATCTCTTCCTCGCTGATGGGTTTCCCTCTCGCCAGCGCCCCTTCTCTGATCATTTTTCTCGCAACTTTTCCAACGCCCGAAGCCAGTTGCTTAGCACCACAAACGTAAAACTTGGCCCCAGCGTCCCAAAATGTCGAAACGACTTCTTTATCCTTCATCATCCGATCCTGCACGTATCTGCACCCTTCACTCTTTTCAGGAGATTGACTAAATGCGTAGCGTACATCCAATACCCCGGATCCTGCCCATTCATCGATCTCATCGCCGTACAGCCGATCAACCTCTGGATTTCGACAGCCTATGAACAGGATAGCCGGAGCGAGCTTCCGCCTGCCCTCTTTGGTCAGCGTTGCACGCTCCTGGATAAATGCCCTGAATGGAGCAATGCCAGAGCCGGCACATATCATCACAATTGGTGTCTTTTCTTGATCAATGGGTAGTCGGAAATATTTGTTCGTCGACCGTACGCTGACTGGTACCTGATCCCCGATCTTTAAACTTCGCATGTAGGACCCAGTTACACCCATGAATCGTCTGCCATCCATGGACCATGAGGGCTCGTCAATAACCGTATATGTGAGTGTACAGGAAGTTGGACTGGCGAGCGGAGAAGACGAGATGGAGTAGTGTCTCGTCCGCATCTGCGGGAGGAGTGTAAGGAAGTTTGCGAAGGTTATTTCAATGCTCGAGTACTTCTCAAGTAAATCCAATGTCGAAACGCGTTTATCGAGGATTTCGGTCTCGAAAAAGTCAGGCTTCGCCAGAGTTCTCAGCGAGTCTTGTTCAACCTCGATTGTTGCCATTCCCGCAAGGACACCCAGGTCTTTACGCGTTGCGGGCATGGACAGCTCAACATAACCCGTCAACAAATCGGACACTCTCATCGGTGTATCTACTGGGAGGGTAGTAGAACCGGCCTTGGTAAGTGTAACGACAATGTCGCTATGAAGTTGAAAATACTTCATTACCCTCCGCACACTTTCTTCCGGGTTCAGCGGAAGTACAGCCAAGTCTAAGGCGCCATCTTAGCATTGAATCTGAACGAGAAGATTGCACTTACAATCACCAGCAGAGTAGCTCATCCCTGATGGCAACTCCACTTCTAGATGCCGCTTCTCTGGCTGTCCTTCCGCTGTTAACACTCTTGCATCTAGCACGTTTGCCCATTGCACATTTTGTTGGAGGCGATTTGCTCGCTCCTCGGAAGAGAACTGGAGCTCTACTGAGGTTACCGCTTCTGTCGATGTCAAGAGATTAGCACGCTCGCCATCTATATGATCAGTCAATCCCGGCCATAGTTCCTGCTCAATCCACAAGTCAAAGTCTCCGAACACATCCCTTTTGCTGACGTCTGATGCACCTCTCTCGGCGACCCTTGTTCCGCCTGCCTTTGCTAATAGGTCATCGACAATGGTCGGAATCTTTTGGTATGTCGAAACCCAGTCGCTGTGACCACATCCAAACACTGCGTAGCGGACACCGGAGAAAGAGCCAACATCATTCAAGCTCTCCAGCCACGCAACAAAGCGTGCAGCATTATCGGGAGCCAGTCCCTCATAAGACGATGTGATAATGATGATAGGCGTGCGATTGGGCAATCTGCCGCCAACTGAGTCCATGTCTTTCACTTCAGCTGTGAGGCCCCGCTGTAACGCCTGGGCCGAAAGTTTCTGCGCAAGGGCTTGACAGGTGCCGGTATTTGAGCCATACAGTACAAGCAGCGATGATTCGGATTTTCCATTCGTCTTCTCGTTATGCTTTTCTTGCCTGCTCAAATTTGATGGGGGATCCGATGCTTGAAGTCGGTGTTGTAGAGATGTCGCCGTTATTCCTTGCCGAAGTGATGCACGCATGTAGAAATCTTTAGGCTTTATTGTCAAAGTTTGGACCACCTTCAGTTCGTAACCCGGGTCATCTAGACGAAGGTCAAAATTTTGGAGGATGAGAGCTATTGCAAGAAGTGCTTCCTGCCATGCAAATGCTCTTCCAATACAAGCTCTTATTCCGGTCCCGAATGGCTTCCATGCATTCTTTGGAAGCTTCTCAAAATCATCGTCCAACATTCGCTCCGGTCTGAACTCTGCGGCATCATCGCCCCACACTTTGGGATCTCTCTGGATCTTGCCGACAAGACAGAGTATGCTTTTCTCGCGGGGGATGGCATACCTTCCATTTCCTATCGTGGGTGTCTCTTCTTTATTCTCGGGACGAACGGCTCGGCCAAAACCTGGTGCGGTTGGTGTCAACCTGAGTGTTTCCCGAAGAACGGCGTTAACGTATTTGAGCTGGTTCAAGTGTTTTGGCAGAACACGCTCGTTTCCTATTACACGATCGACTTCCTGTTGAGCTTTGAAATATGTTGACGGATTCTTCAGCAACTGCACAAAGGCAAATGACAATAGACCTGACGTTGTTTCATGTCCTACAGCGAAGTTCAGTTATTGTAGTTTCCCAGCGTATTGAAAAGCTCACCAGCGACGAGGAAAGTTTGCACTACAGAACTTGTGGTCAGCTACCTCTTGGCTCAGCTCAGGCTTGGGGTTGCAGAATGTTTGTAATAAACAAAACAAAAGAATGTGCTCACTATTGGCTGCTATAAGCTCATCTCTCATGGTACCACCAGTCTTTGGGTCCTTCCCATATATCATGGCATTAAGAAGGTCTTTTTTCTCTGTAGGGTGGTCTCGACGATACTGTACAAGGTCTCTCGACACCTGTCTCTGAAACTCAACATCCTTTCTAACTTGTTCGATGTAGGAAGGCATAAGTCTCTTCAGCATGCCGCCTAGCTGGTCTGAACTGCTGCGATCATGTAGAACATTGTTCATTGCCACCACAAAAGGATGCATTCCCTCTTGGTAGAATGAGTTGAAGCGGTAGTCCATGGCACACAAGGCGATTGTGTCTAGAGTCAGACGAGAGAAGTCATTGCTCACGGAAATCCGGTGCTCTGATCCTTGGCGTGCCCATTTGAGAACCATTTGGGTTGCAATATCATGCATCTCTACAATGATTTAGCGCTGAAACATTTGGGCGATCAAGCTCAAAGGGGTAATGGCTGAGGTGAATTGAATACTGTCACTTACCATTGAACATCTCTTCCATAGCCAATGGCCCGAACGCAGGCATTAAGATACGATGTGCTTGGCCCCAATCTTCATCCTTCTCCGTGCTTGCAGTGAAGAGTCCTCGCGCTTGAGCAGACTTAGAGGCTTCTGCAAGCTTGCCACCAAGCAGCTTATAAAACCGTGTTTCGTCACAGAGTTCATCAAATAGTTCAAAGCCACCAACAATGATGGCTTGGTTGCCGGCAATTGTGAACTTGACGATCGGGCCGTAAATATCAATAAGTCGTTCCGCGGCATGTAATGGTACTCCCTCTGGGTCTTGGAGGTCAAGCAAGTTCCCGATGAATGGATAGCCTCGAGGGCCAGGAATTTCTGCCGTCATTGCTGGAGATAGAGCAGGTGACTCTTCGCTTGATTGCTTACAATGGCAGGAAATCTCCTGAGGGCTAGATTACGCTCCTTTCTATTCTTCTGCGGTCATCGCTTTACGCTGAATATATACTTCAAATCTCCAGTTGGCATTGGCATAGACCCGCTAACCTCTCAAGGGCTGTCCACTGCACCAACCCTGCAGTTTCCTGGCTGCTGCGCACTAACCTAGCTACCCGCTTCCCGTCGCTAGAACGAAAGCGAGAACGAGAAGGTCGGCTTTGGCAGATGCCGACCGACTCTATAATGAATCTTACATCATTTGCCAAAGTACATGAGTTAGATCCACTGTCCTCCAACAATTGTGCTTGGTAGAGCTGTGCCTCGGCACTGCCCTGACAGCAAGCGTGGTAGACCGCTGAATTGGGCCGGATCCTAGCGCAATCGGGTTCGCGATCGGCGACACCCACCTTGTAGGGCGTGCGTTGCCTGTGAGTTGGCCCTGAGCTGTGCCCCAGCAAGCGGCGGACGGAATAACCGCCCAGTTAACTTACTGGTAGAAACACACCAGTACTGGTAACGTCTCTTTTAATTATCAATGTGTATTATTGATTGATTACCGTACTTGTTGAGGTTAGAGTACTCCAAGTTGGGAGATGGGAGCATTATTTTGTCACATCTTGCCCGAGCAGTGCGAATCCTCCAGGAGTCAAATTGTAAGGAGCCTGGTCCCTTACGCACCGAAGGCGTAATACATGTATCAAAGGCTGCAGATCTACAGGTGGTGGCTACACGCCACGTAGTAGAAATAGAGTGTAGGTGATGCCAGCTGGCGCCGGGCCGCTGCCGGCCGACCGGTCAGTCAAGGTCCGTCAGGGTCCGTATGACCGTCAGCTAATATTATCACACTAATATACCGACTCTCCGACTTGTCTCTTCTCTTGCCGGTCAGCAAGTCATTGATTATCAATGCCAGTGCTTTTGATCCTGTTGAAACCACTTGTTCTGTCGTTTATATCTTGTTTCTGCAGTCGCATTGTGAATAAAGAGCATACATTGTGTCGTAAAATGGCTATGAATTACAAGGAATCTCAAGGGGACAGACCAGTATCATCTATCTAGACTAATACAACACTGTTCTCGAACCCTCGGTGGCGAACTCATATTATGTATCAAATTCGTCAATGACGCTCTTGGGCTTGACGAATCTACCAAGAGACTGATACTTCAAATGATGGATGCCAAAGCCTTCAGGGCCACCGATTGCAATGCCCCTTTCCGAGCCTGTCCAGCGGTCGCTCGCAGCAATGCCTAAGACGATGACCAAGAGGCCATACCTATACTCAGGCGTACCTATAGCCTCGCCGTTCTGTGCATCGATCACAGAGATTAAATCCGGTACGATACCGAGGACATCCTCCTGTCTCTCCTGGCCAGCTTCACCGGACTCCCCTGTCTCGGGTATCCGGATTGCGGCAATATTTTCGTTTTTGAAGGGAATCTTGATCAGGCCTTTGTACTTGGGCTGTTCAGTTGCCGATTGCAACTTGTTGCTATCACCAGCATCAGCAACGTCTGCTCCCTCTATGATGCACTCTCCGTAGATATGACCCATTCTGAGTGTTCTCTCCACGCCGACTATTTTGCCTTTCCACAGAACCTTGGCAGCATCGGGACCTCCGCATTCATCGATGATCGTCTCGGCTACGCTGTCAACTCGATTGAATCTTCTTGCTCTTGCTACCGCACGTCCAATGCGCCAAGCCTGAGAAATTGTATGCTCCACCGCCCATCGTTTCGTCTCGGCTCCTGTCACTGGTGCCTCGGCACAACCAGTGTGTGAACCCATCTGGCTGAGCCCCGCTCTCAGGATCCTCTCCACCTGCGTGTCGGACGTCGCTTTGGGCATCAAAACGACGTTCCCGTTACCATCACACATTGCAATTGGCGACCATATCGTTGGCCGTTCGTTGAACACCACTGGGGTCGTTTGCCATTTTGTTGGATACGCTCTTCCCATCCAATCGGCGTCGGGAATCTCCAACCCAAGGAGGCTTCCGAGAATCATACCTTGGAGGCCATTGCCACCTCCTATCTCAAGTGCAATCATGTGTGTCGCTTTTCTCTCACAGATTTTGTAGAGCTCATGTTGTGCCTCGAGCATCTCATCTCCTTGGAGTTTTTCAATCCCCACCGTTGGTGACCCCATTCCTCCCCCCGTGCCGATTTGTGCGTCGTCTTTTAAATCGTAAGGGTTGATGACTCGAACTATCGCCCCTGTGCGCAGCATTCCTCGGAGCCGCACCATGTGCGAGTACGGACTCCCTCCTCCTCCAGTTCCTAGAATATAACATCCAGTGGTGATCCAGTCCAAGTCTGTCTCATTGACATACCAGACTCGGTCCTTGACGGTAGGCTTATAAGTCAAAATGTCCACCTCTTCTTTGACTTTAGTGTTCTTAGTAGACGTCCTTGTTGATTTCTCATATTGGCTCATCTCGACTTCCGGTTCAAGTTCACTACCCTCTGGAATCGAAGCCATATCTGTGCGAGAGAAGTCGAAATCACCAGCCGCACGTACAATGAACCGAGATTTGTTTGCAATGTACTGCAAGGGCAAAGTCTCTATTTCGACAATCTTAATTGACGATGGTAAAGCACCAGCCGCAATTGTTCGTTCGATAGCTTCCTGTGAAATGTCTTCTAATAGCTTCTGGGTCGTCTTTGATTCAGTGGACTTGACAGTATCGACCACCGAGCTAACCCTCGCAATAGCAGCTCCGATTGCATTTGCGACCTCAGACCATCGCGGCTTCATAACCTTGCTCGCTCCTTTAAGCTCATCTGGTGCGATTATGGCTCCTCCGCCGACGAGCAGAACAGGTAGGTCCTCAGGAGATGTCTTCATGGTGTCAATGACTTTCTCAAGCTTTTGTTTGATGATGGCCTTTGCCTTCACAAGCTCATCGTCATTTAGTGCTCCATTAACCAGCTTAGGATCCCCTATCTTTACGCTTGGGTCCGCTAAGACTGTGCAGTCGGTTGTCGTCAGAACGTCCCCGCCAAAAACAATGGCTTCTTTCGTAAGTTTGTAGCCTACACTATCGGGACCGACTGTCATATCCTCCCCTTTTCGAATAATAGAGCCACCTCCAAGACCAATGCTCTTGATATCCGGGCAAGAAAAGTTCATGCGGACTCCAGCAAGCTCGCTGTATGCAGCCTGTTGCCGAGGAAAACCATTCGCAAGAAGAAGTCCAACATCAGTTGTAGTGCCGCCGATATCCACAACCATCATTGCCTCATCGAGTTGGTTTTGGACAAGGAAAGCAGCCCCGCGCATACTGTTTGTTGGGCCGCTAGAGAAAGTTCTGATCGGTAGTCGTGCTGCCATCTCGCCCGAGAGAATGGTCCCATCATTCTGTGTGATAAATACAGGACAGTGCAAACCAAGTTTCTTGATAGGCTCCTGGAACGAACGAATGGTCTTCTTTGCGAACGCCAAGATAGATGCATTCAGTATCGCGGCATTTTCCCGTTCCAAAAATCCGAGGTTGGCGACCTCTTTTGAGCAGACAACATCGCAGCCTGGTATTTCTGCTTGAATGATCTCAGCTGCCCGCTCCTCTTGTTTCTCAACGGTGTCAATGGGGCTGAACACTCCGTTGACTACAATACTCCTGATGCCCTTCTCTCGAATGATCTTGCACTGGGCCTTGATCTCCGCCTCATTGATGTCTGAAATCAGATTGCCATCAACCTCGAGGCCACCCTTCACCAGGGCATAGTAGCCTAGAATAAGGTCGCGCATATCTTCAGGCCAGTCTACGCACGGCGGTGCATGTTTACTAAACGGACCGCATAGTCTGATAACTGCAACAGGAGAGAGCCGAGCTGCATCGCGCTCTATTACAGCATTGACGAAATGCGTCGTGCCGATGGTCACGCTGGCCACGGCTTCTGGGCTGATATTGGCGGCTTGAAACATCTCCGTGATGGCATCGTTGATTCCTATGCTGGGATTTGTAGTTGTACTTGCCTTGTGCCAAGCAATTATCCCCTTGTCCGGCTCTGTTGCTCGTGTTGGATCAAGCACCACGCCGTCTGTATTGGTCCCCCCGACGTCAACACCAATTCGCAGGCGCTTCATGTCAATCGCTGAACCCATATTGTCTCTAACGTCTTTTTTCTTGCATATGTTATGAAAGCAGAGACAAAGAGCGAGGTCAAACAAGATGATACATGCTTTCATATACGTCGAATAGGTGGAAGGGGTCAATTGGGAAAGTCTCGGGGCCGTTGAGGTGTTTCGGCAGAATTGCAGGTGCCGGGTGCACTAAGGGACATCGGGGGGCGCCGGAGACTCCAGTTTAGGCAAGATAACGGGAAAGCTTAATTATCATTGGGTCGCGATCGGCCAACTCGATCGGCGAACAATACTACCCTCTGGGAAGACACACAGGGTGGGGGAAGACCCCATCTCGGGGGTATTCTTATCAAAAATATCCCGGCAACTGGAGCACGCAAGTAGGGATCCGTTGCATTGTCGTATCGCATCGATTGATCTTACGTGTTGTATCTTATCATCGGGAGATGTGTTGCGTTGCCAACCCGATGGATTGGACTCTATATATACAAGCATGCCCTGACGGGACTGACCGCCCCGCGTCCGCTTGATATCACGTTCCTATTACCACGCCTTTAATACGATATGGCTACATCCAGCGTGAGGCCGCGTCTTAAGACAATCAAGGAGAAAGTGCGACTCCATGGCGATGAGGCAAAACACGAACAAACAGATTCTTGGAGTAACCGAGATCTCATCCCTTTGCCGCCGGCACGCCGTACTTGGGGTGAGTGCTCGGCCATGGCGAGCCGTCATTGGTGGACCTAGACCCGTGGGTATCAAGACTAACAGTGTGCCAGGATGGTTCCATTACTTTGGCTTCTGGACGCTATCGTCGCTGAATATATCTAATTGGCAGTCTCCTAATACGTTTCTGAGTTAGTATACTACTGTCTCTAGTCAAAGCGCGAAGGAGCTAACATACTTTAGCCCAGGGTCTATCTGTTGGGCAAGCAAGTAAGTTGAGCACCTCGTAGACTTTGATTTTCTTACGGTATAGCGTCGCCAGCGTCTCTCTTTTCCCTTGGGGGGATTACAAAGTAGAAGCTCGTGTATTGCATTGTCGCCTTCCATGGATTGCTAACACTATATGCCATAGTGCTGATTATTACTGTGGGCCGACTTCTCATCTGCATGTTCTCGACTCTCATTGCGTGGTGTGGACTGGAGTGGCACATCGGATTCACCATCCAAAATCGCTACTCCTGGGGTTTACGAGCGAGCTATATCCCCTTACTCCAACGCATTCTGTTGAACTTCATCTGGAATGCTGTGCAATGCTGGAACGGAGGCCGTCTTGTGGCCGTCTGCATCACCGCCATATGGCCCTCCTTCGCCACAATGCACAATTTCCTTCCTGCGAGTATGCCGACCACTGGCTATCAGTTTGTGGGCTTCATTGTATTCTGGGTTCTTTCGACACCGTTTCTGTTCATTCCACCAGAGAAATTCAAGCGTCCATTTCAAGTTACCTCAATATATTGCGGTCTAGGAATGATTTCAATGATGATTTGGGCACTTGCGACCGCTAAAGGGGTTGGTCCCTTATGGAACACTGGCGAGCGAGTTCCGACCGGGTGGAAGAACTCTTCATGGTTGATCATGGCCGGTATCAATCAAATGATTGGCGGTATTGCAGCGGGAATCACTAACGGTTCTGACTTCTCTCGATATGCTCGAGGCTGGCAGCATTATGTCACCGGAACCATCACGTCAGCTTGGGTGACTGGAGTCCTTGTCTCTTTTGTCGGCTTGGTCACCACTAGTGCAGCGCAAAAGATTTATGGCGAAGTTTACTGGAATCCACCTGACTTGTTGATGGTAATGATGGATGAAGGTCATGGGTCATCAAAGGCAAGAGCCGGCGTATTTTTCTTGGCTTTTGGATTTGCTCTGACCGCAATGTTTGAGAACATATGTGGTAATGCTGTTGCGGGAGGAATAGACTTGGCAGGTCTTTTCCCTCATTACATCAACATTAGACGAGGTGCGATTATCACATTTGTCGCAGCTTGGGTTGTTCAACCCTGGCAATTGATTAACCGCGCGACGACGTTCATCACTGTTCTGAGCTCGTTCGCTGTCTTCTTGTCCCCCATTATGGGCATCATGGCAACAGACTTTTACCTCTTGAGAAGACGAAAAATCCGGCTAAGTCATCTGTATCGGACACACAACACTCAGTATTGGTACTGGCACGGGATAAATTGGCGTGCAATACCGGCTTGGCTGTGTGGGTGGGCTCCAACCGTCGGCGGGCTGATAGTAACAACTAATGGCTCGACAAACGCCCCAAAGGCATTGTATCAGCTATATTACATGGCATTTCTTATCGGTTAGTCAATCATGGTCACTCACCAATATCACAGGCATAGACATAGCTCATATGTTCTGCAGGCTTCTTCACGTCTTCCGTGATCTTTTACACCTTGAACAAACTGTTTCCTGTGATCGGAATGGGAGAGTATGACGAAGTGGATACCTATGGCACATTCACTCAAGCAGAGGCAGCAAAGCTAGGAATAGTGCCCGCTGATCAAGTTCTCGAGGCGGAAGACGGAAGCGATGGCGTAATTAGAGAAACGATTGAGAAGGGAGAAAAGTGATGCCGCAATAGCGGCTCGACTGAGAAGGATCATGACTTTGCTTAGAAAGCTACATGAAGGCGAGCTCACGCTCGTTGTGGCATCGACATTTCAAATAGAGATTTCATAATCATCAGCGCATTTGAGCGCCACGGATGTCTTTTCATTGCCGATTGGTGAATTTCGAGACCAAACACCTTTAGAATGACGGGCTTGGTTATGTATTGAGTTCTTCGCGCTAAAAGGGGCGCCGCAAGTGCGATGCAAAAGTCTCCGAATTGTGGCCGGCAACAATGCGCAATCCTGCTCTCGCTCAAAAAAATGCTTCATTGTATGAATAGAGGCAAAATCGGCATGCAGATGAATTAATGATTCATCAGCCACCTCGGACACAGCTGATCTGAAATGATACGGTCCTAGGTGTATGGTCCGAACATGCGATCCAGCCAGTCATCATTGGTACATCTACGTAGCATTCAAGCAAGCGTATACGAAGTTATCAATGCCACTATAAGTGGGGTAAGATTCAAATAACACCATGGAAGGAGTCACTCAGGTGAAGAAGTATTTAAAGGAACGGTTTCCTCTATGCGATCTTGCTGATTGTCCACCTAGCTCTATAGAATAACCTTCATATTTGACCACAAACAATCTCCTACAATGAGTAACAGCATCATCAACTTGACCAACCCCTCGATCCCTTTGGGTTCTACTATTCTCGTCACTGGAGTTAATGGCCTTATCGGTAGTCACATTGCAGACCAAGTATTAGCTGCAGGCTATCAAGTTCGTGGCACAGTTCGAAATCAGAGCAAAAGCGCGTGGGTTGAAGCTCTATTCACAACCAAATATGGCGATGGTCGGTTCAAATTGTTTGAGGTTCCAGATCTTGCACTGAAAGGAGTCTGGAACTCACCAATCAAAGGTGTTTCGGGAGTTGTATCTGTGGCCGGGCTCGCCAATCTGATGGTTCAAGATGTCGAAGGCGCAGTGAAGGACGATCTTGACGGCTTCTTCAATCTACTCGACGCTGCAAAGGCGGAAACCACGGTCAAGGCCTTTGTTTTCACTAGTTCATCATGGGCTGTTTGGACTCCCAAAGCGAACACACCTATGAGTGTGACAGAGTCGACATATAACGAGGAAGCTATCGGTGTAGCGAATGATACCAAACTGGAGCCGGCTCAAAAGGGGATTGCTCCCTTTATGGCCACGAAAGTCAAAGTGGAACAGGGATGTTGGGGCTGGGTTGCTCGAGAGAAGCCCTCATTTACGTTCAATTCAGTTCTCCTGAGCACTGTTCTGGGACCGATTCTCAGCTCAAAGGACCAGAGTGCTAGCACTGCGGGCATGGTCAAGTGGCTATTGACCAAAGAACACTTGGATGTGATGGAGCACATCGCACCACAATGGTTCATTGATGCCCGCGACGCCGGCAGGCTGTATGTGGCTATTCTAACCAACGAGAATGTTGACCGAGAACGAGTGCTAGGGTGCGGTGGGAGATTTAGTTTTCCAAAGGTTCTAGAGATTTTGAAAGAGGCGTACCCGGAAAGGAAGGGGGAGTTCGCCGATCTACCCGATGCCGGCTGGGATCAGACTGAATTGCCTAGCGACAAGTCGCTTGCTCTCCTGAATAAGGTTGGCCAGTCTGAATGGACTACACTAGAACAGAGTGCCAAGGACAACTTCGAGAGCTTTGCTATTTAAGGACAATGTTCTCGGAGATACATGTGGTGAGAACATCAATAGATTCTACTTAGAAGTTCAGGCGATTCCATCAAATGGATCAATCACTAAGCTGATGACTAGATTATTACCTAATTAGTATGATAGCAATTGATGACACCTTTAAGGACAATCAAAGTCCGACGCCCAAATAGTGGTGCTGTTGCGAATGACACCTCGGACTCTCGGACATCTGGAACTGACAGCCAATGACGGAAGTGCTTGCAGCAAAAGCGAAATAGCTATAAATACGAAGAAATAGTGCAGTGAAAAGTTCTTTCCATTCAGCTCTAATACATGGCCCAGCCTCCACTAGCGCAAATGACCTGACCGGTGACCCATGAGCTGCTAGGGCTAGCTAGCCACGCTACAATATTAGAAACCTCTTGAACTGTGCCAAGTCGGTTTTGTATTGGGGTGTTGTCCTTCTGCATCTTGACGATATCTGCCGGGATGTTGTCCAGCATATCGCTCTGCACCGGCCCTGGCGCAACGGCATTCACAGTGGTGCCATTGACACCTAATTCAGCAGCCCAGCACCGTGTTAATCCTTCAACAGCAGCTTTCGAGGAGCAGTAGAGGCTAAGCTCCTTGAAGCCAGTCCGCGCACCAACAGAAGTGAGATTGATGACCCGGCTGTTGGGATTGAGGAATGGCAGTACTGCTTGGGTCAACAGTATCGCGCCGCGTACATTGAGGTTGTACACCGCATCATAGTCTTCGACAGAGATCTTCCCCAGTGGCTTCACCACCTCCAAGCCAGCGTTGTTCACGAGGATGTCTAATTTGAGGGAGCCATCTGTCCACTGCGTCAATTCATCGATGAGCTTTTTCGAGCCTTCCACGGTGCTGAGATTTGCCTTGACGGAGAGAGTCCTAGGCTGATGTGGAAGTGTTGCTATTCTGTCTTGGAGTCTTTTTATATTGCTACCGCTTGATTCGGATGTATATCCCAAGACGACCTGACACTGTCAATTAGTAGAGTGATATGGTGGCAGAGACTCATCACATACTGTTGCTCCTTGACGTGCCAGTTCCCAAGCGATTCCCTCACCAATACCTCGTGAAGCGCCGGTGACGATTGCCGTCTTGCCCGCTAGGGGCAGTGCAAATTCGTTGCTTGTTGTGGTCATTGTTCTGGAAAGGCAAGTGTGGGTCTGATGATCTCGTGATGACCTCTAAAGAATACGAAGTGATGCCGGCTCATTGGAGGCTGCAAGTTGAGATGAAGTTGTAGCTTCATTTATGCTTTGTACCGTCGGCCGTGCTGTCGGCGATTGAGGCAATCACCGAAATAGGTTTCCCGAAGTCCTTCGGGGCTGTTGCATCACGGCCCCACAATGGTCTGAGCCCACCGTAGGTCGGGAGGCAAAGAAGTGGGGCCACTCCGATTCCCTGTCCGGAGAGGCGTGGTGATCTGAGCGCCGTGTGCATCAGCCATAATTTCATAAATTATCGAGGTAGACTTGCATTGCTTGCCTCGTCCGCTCTCCATCATTACATTTTATCTCGTTTCATTTCATTTTGTTTCGTCTAGAAAGGCTATCTGGTTGATATAAACGCAACGAATGTGCTACGCTAGCAGTAGCCATAGCTTATTCTTGATACATGCTTGATGTATCGCAGGTCACTAAACACCGGCCTGTTATAACAATGTCCGTCTGAGACCATTATGGTCATCACGTTCTCAATTCATATTCAATCCAGTGAACTGCAACCGATGGCAGAAGTCCTCCAAGTAGCTAGCTTATGTTGTCTAGTAAATAGCTGCTAGTGATACTGCATCCTGCATGCTGATTGTGATTTTGTTCAGGCAGTGGGGCGAACACTTCGAGCTCACCATGAATGTGACGATGTGAGTTGCGCGTCCAATCCAAAGTCTTTGTTTCTTTACCTCAAACCTCTCCATCTGCCTGCTGATTAGGGCCATTGTTACGGACGTCGATCTCCGCAAGCCTGCCTCCGTAAGCGCACTGTTAACCGGACTCTAAATCGGCAACCTGACTCCGCAGAAGATTAGCTCAGCACCGCAACTTGCGAAATTTAAGGCCCGACACCCGCATGCATCGTCGAATTGACTGATTCCCCCGCTCTACGTCTCTTCATTTTCATTTGAAAGTGCCAATCCTAAATCCAGCTAAAGACGATCATGTCCGCCACGCAGACAGCGACAATCGAACTTACCGAAGTTCCCCTCACCGTCCTCACTCCCGCGGTTAGCTCACCACGGTCTGAGTTACCTCCACAAAGGGGTCGAATATTCGATGTCGCACCATCCAATGTCTTGAGCAAGTCCTCCAGAGTTCTGATCACATTTCTCCTCATTGTTGCCAATTTCGTTCAGGTAATCGAAAGAGCCCATTATAAGCTACCTATAACTATTAATCGTTCATCGTAGTTCATTTCCAACTTTGTCACCTTCGCAGGCGGGTTCAAGCTGAGCCAGCTGCTTGGACGAAACGTCGGTCCAGGCCAGGCTAATTGGATGGCCGCATCCTACCCGTATAAATCATGAGACCCTTTCGAAAATAGACCGTACTGATTGTTTGTCCAGGCTTACGCAAAGTGCATTCGTTCTCATCAGCGGACGCCTAGGCGCCGTCTACGGTCATCAGAAAATCCTACTCATCGGTGGCGGCTTTCTTGTTGTCTTCTCGCTGATCAACGCATTCTGCTCAACATACGAGTCGTTTGTCTCGGCACGCGCTCTCACTGGCATTGGAGGCGGGCTTCTCATGCCTAATGCTGTTGCAATGCTGATGATCATGGTACCACCTGGTCGCGCCAGAAATGTTACCATGGCATTCTTCGCAGCGTCTCCGCCCATTGGAGGATGGTGCGGAGCCATACTTGCTGGCATATTCGTCGAACTAACAGATTGGAAATGGCTGTTCATTTTCATGTAGGTGGTTCCTTTGTGTTTGATAAGTCGACTGATGACAACTGTCTGACATGCACCAGAGCACTTCTCGGGGCTGTTGTTTTCGGCGGGCTGTTCTTCGCCTTCCCAAAGGAGCAGCCTGTTGATAAGGGTGGTAAGATCGACTACATGGGGGCTGCCCTTGGATTGAGCAGTCTCCTGCTCTTCAACTTTGCATGGAAGTGAGTTTCAAAAAAAAAATTTCAAGTCCTGGCTCGACTCCAATCTCGCTCACAACTTGACTTGTAGTCAAGCACCTTCCGTCGGGTGGAAGACTCCCTACGAGATCGCCATCGTAATACTCTCCGTCGTATTATTCGGGCTTTTTCTGGTATGGGAGAAGAAGTTTGCAAAAGAGCCTGTCATGCCGCTCAAGATCTTCAACGCTCCAACCTTCACCGCTCTAGTCTTTGTGGTGCTCCTGACATATATGTCATTCGGCATCTCCAACTGGTACATGGTCGCTTGGCAACAGTTGATCAGGGACTGGACAGTGATACAGCTTGCTATCGGCTGGATTCCATTTGCACTCGGCGCTGTGGCGGCAGTGGGTCTTGCTGCTTGGCTGATCCCACGCCTGGATGCGCAGTACATTCTGGCCATCGGGGTTGCAGTTGCACTCGTTTCGAACTTGCTCCTCGCAACAATGCCCGAGCAGCAGACCTACTGGGCGCAAATGTTCCCCGCCATTCTCCTTGGCAGTGTTTGTCCCGACTTCGTGTTCGTGGCGGCTCAGGTGATTGCCAGCAACAGCGTGGGGCGCCGTGAACAAGGTGTTGCAGGCAGTCTCATTGGCACTCTGAACCTATATGGAGTTAGTTTGGGCCTGGGTTTCGCCGGAACCATCGAGACTGAGATTGTCAAGGATAGTAAGGATGAACTGCCTGGCTATCGCGCAGCATTGTATTTTGGTGTAGCTCTTGCAGCGGCTGCACTAATCATGGATTTTGCCTTCGTTAGATTGCCGAAAGATGATCGTGAAGGATGGTCCATTACGGCTGACGATGATGTTCCAGGTGTTGGAACAGCCACTGGCGTTGAAGGCGGAACAGCGGCCTGATGGGATGGGTTATGGCCCGTCGATTGCGAGTGGCTGTAGACGAGATATTGGATTGATCCATGATAACAGAGATGGATACAGTATCTAGATCATTTGATTTTCAGATACAAGAGTAAATAGACTGGAACTCTTCAGAATGAGATACTATGAAAATGATTGAAATCTGGGTTCCTCCTTAGGGCCATGGAACTTGGCCAGTGGTGCGAGCAGGTACATTGCTGGTGAGTCGGTTCCTGAAGCTTGGGATCTCGAGCCTCTGTCGTTGGACGACAGTGACGAGAAGCTAGATAAAAGACTTGCCACTACTGGTAGGATAGCGTGGCATGCAGCTGGGTCGTGCTCCATGGGCAAGGTGGTAGATAGCAAGTTTCGCTTGAAAGGCGTGGAGGGCCTGATGGTTGTTGATGCATCGGTGGTGCCCGTGCCCTTGGGTGCTCATATGCAGGCACCCCTATATGCTACGGAAGAATAAACTAGTGCTGTCATTGCAGGGACAGCATGATTGCTAAGTTACCTACTAGTAACTATTATAGGAGTTTACTTGAATATCCACATTTATGCTTTAGAATTCTGCTTCTCGAAAACTGAACTGTGTACCAAAGCTCGTCAATCTCCGACACTTGTCACTCGACTTTCGCTCCATTTACGGTCGTCCTGACTTTCTGACACCACAACATGTGGAGGACTCTCTGAGTCATTTTCCCTCATCCCTCAGGAGCTTAGAAATCATCTGCGACTGGGCATGGGCTTATCCACAAGAACATGAACTGGATTGGGATGATGCTGCTTTGACGATATCTGGACTTGTATCGCTTCACCAGAAAGAACAGCTTCCTCATCAACTATGTTATTTGACTCTTGCAATGTCTCTTCCTTCACAGACCTCTAGTAGTGCCGACCCTCGGATAAACGCAATTACCCAAGCAATGTCGTATTTCACCGCTACTGCCACCAAATTCAAGGTCATCAATCCGCCAGCGCGGCGTTTCAGCACCCTTCTGCATCATTCGGAAAGTGATGAAGAATGGATCGAGAGACTCTTTGACGAAAACGATAGGAGACTATTGTTGCGAGTTGCTGGGCTTCGTCCCCCTCTTTACATCGAGGACTAAGCCAATCAATCCTCAAGGGCTTTCATGTTGAATTTTAACAGCAAACGATACCACTTTCCAAGACAATTCAAATTTGAATGAATCTATGTGCTTTAGGAGCCTCGAGATTTAGGCGCCATCTACGTCCGACTTGCCGTGTCAAGGGACGGCTTGGCTAGCCCAAGCTCGTGCTAGCCGCCAGAGCCTTCGTGAATTCACTCGACTCGCTCAGGCCCTCTGGTGCTGACTTTCTTATACCGAATTACTTCTGCTCCATCATCTGTCACGATCCGCTGCGCGACGATCTTATAGCCGCCGATCGCAGGGAAGACCTTGGTCCAGAACGTCCAATAGACCGCACCAAGGATGAGAACACCGACTCCAACAACCGGGAAGACATAATAGGGATAGCCTTCCGCATTCCAATTTCCATTGGGTGGAATAAATGGTACAATGGCGAGGAAGACATTGGCCAACAGATAGAGAACCGCTACTGGCAGGAAGGTATGCCAGGGCGATGTCCAGGTTTCGGATTTGCTGTAATGCAGGTAAATCAGACCTGCAGCAACAAACGCATTGATCCATGCTCCAGGATATGTGTACCTGTCCATGTTGTTAGCGGATTTGTTTCAAACTTGGAAGCAATTACATACAGATCTACAATGAAATTATATGCCGGTCCTGCCGGAGGCGCCACCAAAACAATCACGGTGACGATCCAGTGAAGGAACAACTAGTTCACTGTCAGCAACGACGTCTCGTGCTATAAGAACAATCACCTTACTGAGGCTGCCGGAGCATTTGCAGGTTTGTTAGATGCCCAAAATCTGCTAAACGGCAGCAGGCCTTCCTTTGCCAACTCCTGGTTCAGTCGTGCGTGGGCAAAGCTGACGGCCAATACGTTTCCTAGATTGCTCAGGGCAACAAAAGCTGGCAAGCTACGAGCACCAGCGCTCGCACCAAACACATTGCGGAAGAAGAGTCCAGCGACGATGACTTCCGACTTGGCTAGATCGGACTTCGGGATCGCAGCAAAGTAAGCAACGTTGGCCAACACGTATAGGATAGTCACTCCACCAATCGCCAGGGGTGCAGCGACTGCAAGAGTTCGCCGTGGGTTCTTCAGCTCCCCGACAACATAGTTGGCATTCTCCCAACCCTTATAGCTGTAAACAATGCGCAGAAGAGCAGTTGCGTAGCCGTATGCCCCACCATTTCCGTACCCATCACCCTCTTCGATGCGGAAGGCATTGTCAAAGTTGTGGGGATTGTCAACGAGACGATGACCAGCAAGGGCAGCAAAGCCTGCGAAGACGATGAAAAGGAGAATCACAACTTTGAATACCCCGAGAACGTTGACCAAACGGATTCCCCATTTTGGCAGCAATGAATGCAAGGCAACAGAGAATGTAACGCAAGCAATAGCTATACCCCGAGCGGCCCAGCCATCCGGAGCAGTGGAGCCAGATGCGAAAAGAACATAACGGCCGAATGCGAGAGAATTGCCAGACGAAAATCCTAGGAGAATCATTTGCGATGCAAGAACGCAGGTAGCCAGGTACTTAGGATGTTTATAGACTCTTTCGAGGTAGTTTTTCTCGCCGCCAGAACGAGGGATTGCGAGACCGAACTCGAGGAAAACGGATAAGCCAGCAAATGTTAGAATGCCCCCTACCCCAGGAATTAGTCTTCCCACACAGAGAGCACATAAAGCACCAAGGCATGGCTCACCAATAACCCATAACATCAAGCTTACACCAACAGAGCCTGTCGAAGCGAAGATTCCGGATGGTGTTGAGAAGACTGAAAGTTGCATTCGCATTAATACTTGACTGTGAATGGTCTTCAAAGATCTCCTTACTTCCTGTGCCAATCATTTTGTTCAGTATCAAGAACACAGCACCTGTCACGCCAATCTTTCTGGACTCCGAAAAGCTGTATTTTTGCTCATCTATCTCTACCTCCGGAGACGACAAGTCCTCATCATCTTGAGCTGCGGCTGGGGCCTTTCGGTCCACTGGCCGGTCGTCAGCAGACATACTGAAGTGTCTGCTATGAAAAGGTCGATCTTTGAGTGTTTTGTATGCGCGAAACAGAAGTAGGGTCCAGCTCAGAATTCACTGCCAGCAGTCACGCCTATATACTGTCAACACAACGAATCTCACTCATGCTGCTGTTGTTGGAAGGATCTAACCATCCAATTGGATTTACATGAAATCCTTGATTGTCGGTCATATACCTGCGCCACGAATGGCTTAGGGCGGTCTCACCAAGGCCTTAGAATAACTACTTAGCGACATCCCACTACACGAAGCGCTTGACGGCGGCTACTTGAGGAAGGTCCAAGACTTTGGCAATTTCTATTACATAAAATTTCATCTCAAGGTGGGCCGTAAACTTGTGAAAACTGCGTGGTAGGATGGTATTGTTCGTTCTTGGTATTATGCCGTGCTTACAGGCCTCGATCGCATCAAACCTTGGCGGTGAATTCTGTGCAACCACTTGCCTTCCACGATCTAGGCAACGGCTTCTTTGCTGGAAACTGTCAGATTGCGACATGTTCTAGAGTCTGGGCTTCTGGGCATCTGACCTCAACTGCTCTCACATTCAACTGCTATTATGGGTGATCACAGAACAATAAGCACCAGGAAGTCTTCCCGGATATAAGGATGCGTACTCAGTTACCACAGATGAGTTTTATTTGTTAAGGATGACCTCTAGTTGTCAAATCGCTATGACACGGTCGGTATCTTGTTAGGGCTCGGACGCACAAATGACAAGGTCGGTGGTCAGCTTGAGCAGAGCCGCAACGCAAGTCTCGACAAGTGCAATCTCGGGTTGTACCGAATACCATTAAGGACACTAGATGGTGTTCATGTAGCTAGAGGTCTAAGCGTTAGTGTCACCGAAAGCTGGGGCGCCGTGGCTATGGAGATAAGCCAAATTCGTTGCCCTACACATCATCCCTGACATAATAAGCTACCACCGCTAATTATTTGATCCACGCGCTTTCCTAATATTTACCGTGACTACTTGAAGATACGTATCCCGTCTCGCTTTTTGTCCGTCAAATCTGTCGAAGATGACAAATCTGTGGCGGATGTCCATTACTACCCAGGCTCACCTTGAGCTTCATGAGTACGCCGGGCGCGTCGTGCGTACACAGGGATCTTTTCTGTCTAATGATCGCCAGAAACTACAGTAGAAAGATGCCAAATTCGAATCAAAGGCGAATACTGAAAGAAATCGTAGTTCACCGCTTCGAATCACAAGAACCAGCTATATCGTATCATTCCTAATGGCCACGCACATTCGAGCGGGGGATAGAGTTCCATGGGTTTCAATATGTTACAAAACATGATTTAATGATTTAGCCAGACTCTATAACTTTGATGGGTAGACTATCTGTATAAGAATGTCATTTTAATAAACATTGCTAACGAAATTTAGCTGCTCTTTAGATAGCTTTGTCTTTGTCATCTCATTGAGGCCAGTCATGATGCTGGCATAACAGGAAGTGCCGCAACTGCATACAACGACTTCGGCACAAGTAGCCGGTTGATATGCAACACTTACTATTTTGAGTTCAATTCAATGGTAGTTTGTGCCGATCAGCATGCAAGGTTGCAGCGGCCAGAGGAATACGAGGCACAATGGTCCGCATGACGCGCGGAAGATCGTCGCTCTCTTCTTCGCCATTCGCACCATAACCTAAAATCCAGAACAAAATACAGAGCGGTGCTAGCGGCCGCACAAAACTCGTCTGGTAGTTCTCATAGCCTCGCTGCTTCTGGTAATTTATTGCGTCATGACGTAGCTGGAGAAGCTTTTGTCTTACCGTGATGTCTTCCTCGCGGGAGCCTAAGCTCTACATGCGCCCGTTTGGGTATGCATGACGAACGAACGATCTTCCTTTCCGGACGAACCGCGCGTTAGAGATCTGTGGTCGTTTATATCAACTTCTTATTTCCACGCTGGGTAGAGAGTAGATATCTCGACCAGCATCCGTCTCCCAGTCACAACTTGCAGAACTTGAAGCATCATTACAACATTGGTCCATCATAATGCATCCGTACGCAATCTTCTTGCTAGCTTCTCCCCTAGCGACTACCGTGGCCGCTCAATCCTTGAATACATCGCAAGAGTTCTACCTCTACACCGAACTGAAACCCGGCCAAGAAGGGAAAGAAGGCTTCGACAACTTATGGCTCTATGCCTCGCACACAGGGGCAGGCTTCAACGATGCCATGTTTAGCTTCGATAAGGCCAATGCCATTCCGGGCTTTCTCAATGCTAGTAACCTGACAACCGCCGACGGTGCACCGCTTTACGGAGCTGAGTTCGATCTCGGGACTGAGGGCATTCAGTGGACTATGGAGCCCGAAATATCTGTAAACATATATGCAGCTTGGGAACCTGTTCGAATCAACATTGGGGGTGCCCCGACTGAATACAGTGCTTTTTTTATCAACGAGACAGGCCTGCAGTGGACGAATGTGGCAGAGTCTTCGACGCCGGATAGCTTTGGTGGTTGGTTTGGTGAGTGGCATCCTAGCAGGAGGCGCAGAGTTTACAGGACTGACAATGGTTGCTAATAGTTTGCAAATGGTGGCATGGAGGTTTAGATGGGGATGGGCCAGGACCGCAACTTTTCTTCAGAATAAATGGCTTTGGACACATGACACTAGAGACATGTGCGGATGTGTATCTTATTCCCGAGTATATCTGATCAAGACATTATCATGCGACCATTATCGCATTCCATCAAAGTTGCATTGTCTCGCTACATGATAGTTAAAGATAAGTACGAGTTAGAAGCGTGACATTCATGAATGCGAAGCATCTGGATCGTCAAAGAAATCAAGATGATCCCTTCAAAGCCGCTTAGACGGATAAGATGAAAATAATTCCAGTCCGTTTCCCGGCATCTATGTTCTTCTTTCTCGACCTTGTTCAACCACTACGCAACTCCGGTAATCACATGCAATACTTAAACCTCATAGCAACCAAGTTAGAAGCGGGACCATAGCAACAGTCAAAACTAGAGTGCTCAGAGTTGATATCGCTTACGTTGAGCCGAAATGATCAGCACGACTTATGCATTGTGTAGATTCATACGGGAGCACTCTGAGAGTCTTGCTGCAAGCCAATAGGGGACATGCAGCTAGACCTGCATCGTGCGGGCGTTCGCAGGCGCGATGGAACGGGGCTTGCAGCTCTCGCCGGTCCACAACGCCGAAACACGGCGATTTTGCCTTTCGCTTATGGGAATTGATGTAAACACATGAAATCAGTGGATCAATAATGTTTAGGCTGCAGTAGTGTCGTGTCGGAAGGGTTCATGGCGAATGAGGAGCAGTTCATCCGGATGGGGATCAATGACTTTGACTTCGAAAGCTGCGAACACGTTGCACCCATCTGTAGAGGGATGTGGGTTTTTGGACGACCTGTTTCCTACGATATCCTGGAAATTTGGCTTCTTGGAGCGCAATGAGACATTTTCGAGAAGACACCGTGCTGCATGTAGGTTCAAGACGGCTTGACAACATGTCACTCTCTTCGATTACACGTACTCAAAAATTGCCCGAAAGACAACAATGCCTCACCGGAGACATAATGCAAAGAGTACAATTGCGCTACGGTGCCTCAAATGGCTCATTCTCACCTACATGCCACACTGCCTTACCTACGAGACTGCAGCCAATTGATTCTCGTGTTGCTGAATTTAATCTACTGCTCTTAAGAGCGGCTTGTTCGGTTAGCAGCTGATGGCTTTTTAAGATGAGTGGTTTTGCTGGAGAACACTTCTAGAAGGCGGCGGTGAAGTGGGGGTTGTTTCGGGTCTCCAGGGGAGGGACCTGAGAAGACCGGAACTTGGAAGAGCAACTGGCCAGCGGATGACCAGCCGTTGGCCCGCCTATCCCACTACCAGCGCAACGGGTCCTCTCATTCATCAGTGTCCCTATCAGCGTAGTATTGAGGATGGTAATCACAGTCCGTGCTGACGTTCGCAACCATGGAAATCGGGTCTCGTGATGGGCTTGATCCCCAGCTTCTGATGAAGCCAGATCACTGTAGCGTACCTATGAGGTTGTGCACGGGCCCGATACCACTGTTGCTCTCCTGAAGACGGCATTGGGGCCAGACCAGATCCAGCGCTGGAGCGTCTGAGGTGTGGAGGCCATCGCGGGGCCGCGACCATAGCAAAACAAGCGGTGTGGGTGGCGGAATGATCCTCCAGAGGTTCTACATAGGGGTTGCCATAAACGCATGATTACCGCGTCCGAGCTGCCTTCGAGCAGCTGGCCGACAATCGCGGGTGGTCACATCTACACGCTATGGCGATAAGACAGAATGAGGTCTCTCATAGAGTGCTCACAGTGGTGGCGAGATGTGAAAGGTTCACAGAGGGCGCCTTGCTTTTGTTTGGCTTTCTAGACGAGCAGTGAAAACTTCATCGCTGGAGCAAGGAGGTTGAGGGTTGAGATAGCGCGATGGCCATCTGTGGAGCGTGGAACGTGGAAATAGCGAGCAGGGTAAGCAGGGGTCGCGTCTGTCAATTAAAACCCATGCACCCCTGAAGCCCTCCGAGGGCCTGTGCTTGGCGTCGTACGGCGCGCTCCAAAGGGGAGTTGGAAAACTTATGCCGGTACCAGGGCGAGCGTGTGCCAATTGGGCGATGGGCAACGCGCCGTTGGAGCATCAACGGTAAGTGGACGGATGTTGCTGGCGGCAGCATGCAGGTACCCCTCGAACGACATATTTGGCGAGGGGTTGCCGTCGTACTGTCTGAGCCTGATCTGGTGTCACTGTAACAAAGCTGTCTCTGTGTCTCGTCGCAATTGACCTCACTTGGGCTAGGAGATACCGTTAGAGC